TTGATTGTGTGGATCATGACAAATTATGCATAACATTGAGAAGAATGGGAATTCCCAAACACTTGATTGTACTCATGAGGAACCTGTACCTTGACCAAGAGGCTGTCGTTCAAATAGAACAAGGGGACACTACATGGTTTAAAAGCAAGAAGGGAGTGTGTCAGGGTTGTATCCTTTCCCCACACTTATTCAATCTATATGCTGAGCAAATAATCCGAGCAGCTGGACTATATGAAGAAAACCATGGCATCAGGATTGGAGGAAGAATCATTAACAACCTGAGATACCCGAATGATACAATTTTGCTTGCTGAAAGTGAGGATGATTCGAGGCACTGATGAAGGTTGAAGAATACAGTCTGCAGTATGGATTACATCTCAATATAAAGAAAACAAAAATTGTCACAACTGGACCAATGAGCAGCATCACAATAAATGGAGAGAAGATTGAGGTTGTCAAAGAATTCACGTTGCTTGGTTCTACAATCGATGCCAACGGAAGCAGCAGTCAGGACATTAGACGACGTGTAGCATTAGGGAGGTCAATCACGAAAGAACTGTTTCAAGTGCTGAGGAGCAAGGATGTCCTATTGAGGACTAAGGTGCGCCTGACACAAGCCATGATATTTCCAGTCGCCTCATATGCATGTGAGAGCTGGGCAATGAATAAGGAAGACCGAAGAAGAGTTGATGCTTTTGGAGTTGTGGTGCTGGCGAAGAATGCTGAAAGTACCATGGACTGCTAAGAGAACTAACAGATCTGTCCTGGAGGACGTGCACCTGAAATGCTCCTTGGAAGCGAGGATGGCCAGACTTCGTCTCACCTATTTTGGTCATGTTGTCAGAGGGGACCATTCCCTGGAGAAGGATGTCATGCTTGGTAGGGTGGAGGGTCAACGAAAGAGGGGGAGGCCTTCAACAAGATGGATTGACATGGCAGCTGTGATGATGAGCTCAAGTATAGCAGGGATCATGGAGCTGGTGCAGGATCGTGCAGTGTTTTGTTCTGCTGTGCATGGCGTCACTATGAGTCGGAAACAACTCGATGGCCCCTAACAACAACAACATAATAAAAAAGAAAAATTATGTATGTAATACTCTATTCTAGTTAGTAGGTTATGATTAAATGGTTGCTCTTATGTAGTATTCTTCACTCCTTCAGAGCCACCAACCTCTCTGTTAGCTCTCTTCTTGTTAGATGCCATCGAGTCAGTTTTGACTCATGATGACTCAATGTGACAGAGTAGACCTGCCCTGTAGGATTGCTAGTTTGAAATTTCTATGGGAGCAAATCTCCAGGTGTTTTCTCCAGTGGAGCCACTGAGAGAGTTTGCCAAGCTTTGCTTAGTAACTAAGTATTTAACCATTGTACTACCATTGCTCCTTAGCTCTCTTTCTTCTCACTAGAAACTAGGTATAGCAAAAGAGAAAATGAAAACATTTCTGAGCTGAAAGAGCAGAAGTAAGATCCAAACAATACTCCTGTTTACTGTGTTCAGAGAGCTGGACTAGTGAAACAAATTGAGCCTAGAAAGCTGGGTAGCTGCCCTGCTTTTGATCATAAAGGTGACTCCTCTGGTCATAGAGACACAGGCAGCTTTTTGGTTGGGGTTGAGGGTAGCGGCATTGAAAAATTCCTGTTTCTCCGTGTCTCTTGATTGCTTTTGCTTTTGATCGTATGGTTTTGGGGCACCTAGAAAGAAACACAGACTGCAGGAATATAAACTTCTTTGGGCTTAAAAAAATCCACCTCAAAAGGTTGTTTGAAGTCTTTTGACATGGCCTTATTGTGGTAAGAGCTCTGGTGGTGTGGTGGTTAGAGCATTTGGCTGCTAACCAAAATCCACCAGCCCTCGAAGGGAGACATATGAGGCAGTCTGCTTTAGTAAAGATTTACAGCCTTAGAAACCCTATGGGGCAGTTCTGCTCTGTCCTAAACTGTTGCTGTGAGTCAGAATTGACTCGACGGCAGTGAGTTTTGAGTTACATTGCTTATCTGTTGTAAATAATGTCAAAGAAACTATCCTGCCCCCTGGTGAGGTTGGTAAGTGTGTATGGAGTTAGGGGGTCTCTTGAGCTGTATGAGAAGAAAGGATCTTTATCTAGATGTGCCAAGTTCTAGAAAAAAATCTATTTTTTTTGGGAAAAATAACATACCCAAGGAGCCTACTGGTTTTTAGGTGTTTAACTGATCCTAGTGCTGAGCTTTTGATTACTGGTTGGTTAATGGATGTGAGTGGAAGGTAGAGAAGGAGAAAATAACTGTTACAGTGAGATAGGTAAGGTGATTGGGTTTGGGTCCTAATGGGATGTATACAACACTCTTCCTTTTGAACAGTGTTGGAAGTGAACAGTAGCTCAATTAAAAAGCTATAAGAGAATGGCCAGCTCCAACTCTTAGTAAGCAGTAATGCTCCAGTTATAGGGCTCAGTTTTCCATTGTCTGAACTGCCAGAATTTCTTGAACACAGAAATTTGTTTTATGGCTACTTCTTGCCTCTCCTTGTGTGAATGTTGAGGCCTTCTTAGTTAATAAGTTTTTAGCTGTTCTAGGGGCAACATGCTGCATGCTAGCTCAGTTTTGTATCTATTTTTGTTTGTGTGATCCTTAGTTCTTGGCACAAGTTTGGTCAGCATGTTGTGCCAGTAAATTATAACTTTATTCAGTTTACCTTATGAACAGGGGGCTAGTTTGTTTCAACCCTTTTCTTTGTCCCTGAATAGTCTGAAGATGATGAGAAGCTAAAAAAGAGGAAGGAGCGATTTGGGATTGTCACAAGTTCAGCTGGAACTGGAACTACAGAGGATACAGAGGTAAAATATATCCAGAATGCTCCATAGACGTTCTGAAGGGAAATGAGGGTGAATAAACTGAGTGGAGAAACATACTATTTCCCAAGTCTACTTCTTACATGCCCAAAAGACAAGATGTTTTTCTCTTTCCTTAATATGTTTTCTGCATGAAGTGGCCACACTGAAGACCATCAGTGTACTTAATCCAGTGTTAAAACCTGTTAGCCTAGTAGGGAAGAGCACAAGCTTTGTAATCAAGTAGGCTTGAGTTTGAAAAGTAGTTTTACCACTAGTATTATAGTAGTACTTTTCTGAGCCTCTGATTCATCATCTGTGAAGTGGAGATAATGTACCTACCTCAGAGTGATAATGTAATAATTAAATGAGATGCTAATACAGAAGAGATGAATATGTAAATTACTTGGCACAGTGCCTTTCATATTGTAAATATTCAATACATAGTAGTGTTTATTATTGTTGTCTGCCAACCATATTTCCTTTGATCATTTAACACAGGGCATCTCTGACCCAGGTACAAGAATAGTTTGTATGTAACTTCTCTCTGGAGTTATAGACAGTAGACTCAAATGAGATCCTTTTTCTTTTTTTACTTTTTACTGTGATTTGGGTGAAATTTTACAAAGCAGATTTGTTCTACATTCAACAGTTCATACATATTTTATTTTGTGACAATGATTACATTCCTTGCAGTGGAACAGCTCTCCTCCTACTTCCCCCACTTCCTCCCTGTGATTACCAGTTCCCTGTGTTCTCCTTGCCTATGCCTTCCTGCCTCCCTACCTTTCTTTCTCCCTGGGCAAATGCTGCTTTTCTGATCACCCAAGGTTGATTGATCTAAGGACTGCATCTCCCTGGTGTAATTGTTCTCCTCGTGGACTTATCTTTTGTTTGGCTGAGACTTAAACTACTGGAGTGAGTTCAGTTCTGGGTCCAAAGGGTGACTTGGGGCCATAGTCTCAGGGGTCTCACCAATCTCTATCCTGCTGGTCTTTTTTTATTTTTTATTTATTTTTTTAAATTTTGTTTCACATTTTTTCTCCTACTCTATCTAATATCTCCAATTTTGATCCCTTTCCAAGTAGTTAGCATTGGTAGCCAGGCACCATCTAATTCTTCTCATCTCAGGGTCATATAAGCTGAGATTCTCGTGGTCCTGTTGTCCTTTAGACTAACTGGTTCATGCATCTTTGATTTTCTTCCTCCCTTACTCCTGAGATTTCTCATTCTTACCACCTTGTTCACAAGTAGTTTCTTGACGTGAAAGAGTAGCTTTTTATGGGACTTCTGTTCATTCTTAATCTTAGCTCCCCACATTCACTGAGACTCTGAGAACTGACAAACTAATGATGCCGATTTGAGAGTATTTAAAATAAAGCCATTAACAATCTGTGATACGCAGATGACACAACCTTGCTTGCAGAATGTAAAGATGATTTGAAGCACTTACTGATGAAGATCAGAGACTACAGTCTTCAGTATGGATTATACCTCAACATAAAGAAAAAAAAAAGTCCTCACAACTGGACCAATAAGCAACATTACAGTAGATGGAGAAAAGATTGAAGTTGTGAGAAATTTCATTTTACTTAGACCCACAGTCAACACCGATGGGAGTAGCAGTCAAGAAATCAGACACCATATTGCACTAGGCAAATCTGCAAGACTTTTTTTTTTTTTCTTTTTTTATTGTGATTTGGGTGAAAGTTTATAGAACAAATTTACTTTCCATACAGCAGTTCACACACACATTATCTCATGACATTAACATGAGATAATGAGAGTTATCTCATAATAGTTACCTCTTTTATCCAGTTATAGAGCTCAATTTCCCATTGTCTGAACTGCCAAAATTTTTTGAACACAGAAATTTGTTTTATGGCTACTTCTTACCTCTGTGTCCATCCCTCCATGCACTCCTGCCCCCTGAACTGTCTCCCTGTGCATAAACAACCCTTCTTTCTCCCATGATTGTTCTCTCCAAGGAATATATCTACCTCAGGTACATGTTCAACTCTTACGCCTGTCTTTTATTTGGCTGGAAGCCACAGGTGTGGGTTCAATTCCAGACCTGAATGGCAGCTAGGGACCATAGTCTCAGTGGTTCCACCAGGCTCTGTCAGACCAGCAAACCTGATCTTTTTTTTTTCTTCTAAATGATTTTGAGTTTTGTTCCACATTGTTCTCCCTCTCTATCCAGGATCTCGTACATAGATCCCGCTCTGAGTGGTTGACAGTGGTAGCCGGCACCATCTAGTTCTTCTGGTCTCATAGTCGTATAGGCTGAGGATCACATGGTGTACCAGTCCTTTGGACTAATTGTTTCCATGAATCTTTGGTTTTCTTCATTCTTCAACGAGGAGAGACCCATCCTTGCATCTAGATGACTGCTTGCAAGCTTTTAAGATCACAGTCGCTACTCACCAAAGTAGGAGGGTAGGAGGTGGAACAATGTTTTGTGTAGTATGTTATGCCAATTGAGTTTGATGTCCCCTGCAACTATGGTCCCAAGCCCACAGGTTCAACTACTTGGTCCCTCTGGGTAGCTGGCTGTGACCAAGAAGTGACTACAACTTTGTCCCCTGTGCAATAGACTTCTTTAAACTGTTAAGAAGCAAAGATGTCACTTTGAAGACTAAGGTGTACCTTAATCCATGCCATGGTATTTTCAGTTGCCTCGTGTGTTTGTGAAAGCTGAACAGTGAATAAGGCAGATCAAAGAAGAGTTGATGCCTTTGAATTGTGATGTTGCCAAAGAATACTGAGAATGCATGGACTGCCAAAAGAACAAACAAGTCTGTCCTGGAAGAAGTACAGCTGAAATGTTCCTTAGAGGCAGGAATCCCAGACTTTATCTCACCTACTTTGGTCATATTGTCATACATGGCAGTTTGCTTCTCTAGTCTCTTGGTAAAATATTGGGTCAGCAAAAAAGGTGAAGACCCTCAACAAGATGAATTGACACAGTGGCTGCAACGATGGGCTCAAGTATAGCAAGTATTGTGAGGGTGGCACACGACCGGGCAGTGCTTTGTTCTGTTGTAAAGAGGGACGTGATGAGTCAGAGTTGACCTGATGGCACCTAACAAGAGCACCACAACATAAGCCAAGTGTCACCTGAGGTGTATATAAAGATCAGTAGAGATCATTTTAAATGATGACTATGCTAGAATTAAAGAGAGCTGCTTGGGTGATAAAAGATTTTGGAATGTTGTCCTCTTGCTTCCGTTTAATCCAAGTTTACTTCTCTCTGCCTCCGAAGATGACCTCTATTACCTTACATACTCAAAAGCTTACAGTTTCTTGAGGAATCAATATCAAAGTTGGTCTTTGAATAAACCGTGAAAACTTTATAGTCTCATCAGTTTACCCTCTCAACTAGGAAAAAACTAAAGATGTTTGTATTCTATGTGCTACTAATTAAGAATAAAGCATTATAATTCTCTAATGAGCCCTGGTGGTGCAGTGGTTAAGCACTCAGCTGTTAACCTAAAAGTTGGCGATTCAAACCCACCAGCCACTGTGGTGGAAAAAGACATGGCAGTTTGCTTCTGTAAAGATTACGTACAGCCTTGGAAACCCTGTGAGGCAGTTCTTCTCTGTGCTTCTAGGGTCTCTCTGAATTGGAATCGACTCAAATAAGTATCTACTTACTTACATACTAGGATGAACTAGAAGTAAACAGTTTTGTTTTAATTCTTGTTAAAACTACTCCCTCTTTAAAGAGACAACTATTGTTAAACCATGCATACTTAACTAAGTAGGTAAATTTGGCCTCTTCAAGATAAGAGAGAGGAAGATCTTCTGGAGTGACAAGGAACAGGGGCTTTTATTGGGAAAGAGTTGCTGTGTGTTAGAGAGTGGTAACTTTGAGGCCAGTAGAGATTATATAAGCCAGATCACTTTTGTTTGATTCCAAAGAATTGTGTCAATAGTTCAGGTGGAGTAGGCTGGGCTTGTGTACACTCAGCTTTTTCTTTTTAATCTAAATTAAATGTCTTGTGTGAGTGGGATGAAGAAAAGGTTCCCTCTTTACTGGGGGCAGTGGTTGGAGTGAGGGTGAAGGACTCAGTGCTGTTTTGTGAGTCACTCCGAGAACAAAAAGATCTTTCTCCTCTCCACACTACTTCCCCCCGATTTTGTGCCCTCTCTCCAGTGTTGCTTCCCTTAAGAGATGCTTGACAGGAACTCCCCCACATCCCCCACCCCCTATTTACTCTGTTGGCACTGAAGATTTATATGCCTCTCTGAGTTTGGAGGTCTAAGGAATAGCTGCTGCCTGGGCCTGACTACCCAGAAGGGCATCCCCCTCACCTTCTCCATGAATAGGATTGGTTAACCCTTTGTCCTCTGAAATTTCCCATCTCTTCACTGACTACAAAATGTTCCTCAGCCCCTTAGCCTGTTAGAGTCCATTGTTTCCAGGCTAGCTTGCTTTAAAGTTGAGTGGCCATCTTTCCTTCAGGAATCTTTGCATTTTTCTACTATTATCTCTCCTAATCTTCTCCCCTCCTTACCCTCCTTTTTCTGCTAATTCTCCCCAGCTCTCACTGGATAACTAGAGAGATTCAGGATTGAAAGCTCTAGTTGTCAAGCTTAAGCTTGAACCATCCCTCCCTCTTGGACCTTGTGATAGTTCATGTGAGTGTTGATTAAAGCAGCCAGGGACATAGGCCACTGTTGTCTTGCAATCTGATTTTTTTGTTTTTGCTTTCTCTTTATAGGCAAAGAAGAGGAAAAGAGCAGAGCGCTTTGGGATTGCCTGATGAAAAGTTCTTAGTGCTTTTTGTTCTCCGATGGTTTCCATTGCTCTGATTCTTCTTGGTCACATGTATACCTAAATGCACAGTCATGGGCCTAGGTCCTGCCTTGCAGTGAGAGAGCGTGTACCCCAGGTACATCAGTGAATTCCAGCAGCAGTTTGATTTATTGCCATTTTAACTTCAAGGTGGTGTTGTGTTTTCTTGTTTGTATTTTTTTTTTTTTTTTAATTATTTTACTTGTTAATAATAATAATAAAGACTGTAGGAAAGAAAGTAATGTGTTTTATTAGGTGCTTCTTTGGGATGTTAGAGACAGATAAGACCAGATATGAGGAATTCCAGGGGAAGACATTGCAGGAAATTAGGCACAATGCCTTTACCTCTTAGAAAGGAAGACAGGAAAAGTATTGAGTGAGTCTACCCTATTAAGCCCATTTATTCCCTTCTCTCATGCTTACAGGTGTCCTTTTACCCCTTTATGTACCGTAAAGAGGCCAATTTACTTTCTGAATCCTTGCTTCAGCTGGTTGGGATAACCCAGTGTGATAAAATAGGGAGAACAGTGAGGGTTTTAGGAAGTGTGAAGGATATAAATCCAAGGGTTAATGGGCTAGTAAGCCTTTTGCTTAGATAAAGTAGAGCCCAGAATCCCACAAGAAGGAGAAAGTCCTAGTTTCCAAGAGTGGCCTGGTATGTGGGAATGGATGTTGGTACTATCTGGTTCCAGCTGAAGTCAGTATGTGGCATTCTACTGGTTCTGCAGTTCTGTAAGGGAAGTGGGCTGGATACCCTCAGAACGAGAAGAAAACACAGGGATTCAAAGCATGACAGAGGATGCCAGAGATGTCGATTTTGGGAACATAAGCAGGACTAAAGGCTTCTACTTAACAAGCCCTGTGCTAGTTTGTCCTCTTCTGTTGCAGAAGGATGCTATTGCAGTTTTGGGGGACATGTTTCTTGACTATTACAAGCATCCATTTTCCTCACTGATCCATTTTCTTGCTTAGAGAGGGTTTGGCTCTCCCTTTGCTGGCTGCTTGTTTGTGGTTTCATACGGATCTAAGACCTGCTGCTTAATCTTTCTGGATGTGTTAGTACAGAGTTTCTCCTCTTAATATTATTTCTGGACATCTATATAAGGGTTTTTATAATAAAACTTGAAAGCTTGGCCCCTTGTCTTAAGACTTTGGTACATAATCAGATTCCATGTTGCTGTGGTGTGGTCCCTTATTCCCATTTCTACCAAAACATTCTGCCTAATTCTGGGATCTCCTTCCTAACATGAAGAATTGCTTTCTTTGCATTGTCTCAGGTTACTGAGGAGAGACAGAGACATAACTTTAGGAAAATTCTGCCTTGGAGAGGAGATCCAAAGGTTTACCTTTTTTTTTGTGGATTTTGCCCCATTCTGAGACTTTGGAGAAATTAACAAGAGGGAAAGATGGTTCAACTTTTGGCACCTCCTCAACTAAATCAGCTTTATGGTTGGAATGACCTTCCTTCCTATTGGCTTCTTTTGTCCTTCTCATTTATTGTTTGTTTTTACTCTAGGTTCTGATCTTGAAGGTGGCTTTTTGTCTCTCTGTTTTCATCTGAAAATAGAACCAGAGAGAATAGTTCCAGTTTATAGCATGAGAGAGATTATGGAGTTCAGTAAGGGTTTTCCACCCAAAAATAGTCAACGTAAGAAATAGGTAAGGGAATGGAGCATCTGATAATGGAGTGGAGCAGTGAGTCTTTTAGAAGTTTTCTTCACTTTATCTTCTGAGTATCCTCTATAAACAACAACAACAAAAAAAAACCCAAACCCACTGCCATCCAGTCAGTTCTGTTTCAACAGCTACCCTGTGGGACAGAGTTGAACTTCTCCATAGGGTTTCCAAAGCTGAAAAGCCTTATGGAAGCAGACTGCCTCATCTTTGTCCCATGGAGTGGCTGGTGGGTTTGAACTGCCAACCTTTTGGTTAGCAGCCAGATGTGTTAAGCACTGCACATCCAGAACTCCTTCATAACCCTCCAGAAATGTATTCGATCTTCCCCTGAGGACTCTCTTCCTGAAGCTTGATTACTCTACTTAACTTTCCCTAGTTCTTTGATAGAGTATTTCCCAATTTTGGGAGATATTTTTTTAACTAACTTTTTTATCCCATTCTAGCAACTGTTTATATGTTAGAATTCTTTTTTTTGAACATAATTATCTTCAGAATGCCTATGTCTTTTGACCACCTCAGTCTTGGAATAATAGGTCCCTGTAAAGGCAGAACAGGCATCCAAGTTTTCAGTTCTTTATCCAGGATCTAAGTACTTTCTTTCCTATACAGCCCGATTCCCTAATGTAACCTAATGTAACCAATCCAGGATCCAGATGTAGTTAGCGGACTAGAGTCTTCTTTCTCTCTGCTGAAGCTGTGACATTCTCTGCATACCTGGAAGTTCTTAATGAGGGAGTCTATAAAAGCTATGGAGGGAACTAGCTTCCTTAGCTGTAAATCTGTACCTTTTTATGGTTCTCTGGGATCATTCTCTTTTCTCCACCACCACTCTAAACTGCCCCTACCCCTACCCCTACCCCAGTGCCTGGGGACTGCTGAGCATAGAAGGCTCTCGTTTCTGGTGGTTGAGGGCTATGAGAAGAAAAGTGTAAACAGGGGCAGGACTTCTTGATGTTGGACTGAGTCCTGTTGCCATGTCTGGCATGAGAAACAAATGAGAGGGAAGGAGGGAATTTACACAGGTTAGAAACTAAACTAGTCTTCCCTGTTCTCTTGTATGAGGGTCTCTGACAGGCACTGTCACCTCTGGTTATTGAAGTTCCCCCAAAACTCTAACCTCCCTCTCCCTACATGTCTAGAGTTTTTTTTTTTTCCTCTCCTCCAAAGGGATTAATTAATATAGCAGGTTTCACACCTTTGAGCCCAACGTGTTCCCAACCTTCTCCTTAGCATTTTATCAGTTACCCCATGTTTAGTTTTTCTACCTGTCAGATTACTTTTAACGGATTAGAATATAATATTGTACGGCAACTACTTAGGTTTAATTCCTTGTTCCACCACAGTAGCGCTGAGATCCTGGGCAAATTAATCATTCTGTGACTTTTTTCCAGACTCCATACCAATAGAAACCCTATTGTGAAGGTAGCTGTGAGAATTAAGTGATAATTATCATATTATGTACTCAGCACAATGTGCCTGCCAGAGTTTACATGATAAGCATTCAGAAGATATTAGCTCCTAATTTTCCTAGATGATTAGAGAACAGTGGGAGTTTCCCCTCCTCCCATGTAGGTTCCAACTGTAGAGTGGACTAGTTTGAACATGTATGTATATGTGCATAGACACAGATATGTAGGTGTGTTGAGTTTGGATAGTGGGAACAAGTAGGAAGTACTCCAGTTTCTCCCTTACTATCAGCTCACTGGCAGAAAAGCTGGCATTATGGCTGGGGTCATTGATTTCCTTGCCTTTGCCCCACTACAGACCAGCGCTGTAAATGCCATTGCCTACTCGTTTTAGTTTGGGAGCTCTGGTGGTGTAGTGCCTGAGGCATTTGACTGCTAACCAGAAGGCTGGCAGTTCAAACCCACCAGCAACTCCTCAGAAGGAAGATTCTGCAATCTACTTCGATAGTGATACTGCCTCAGAAACCCAAGGAGGGTTCACTATGAGTTGGATCCGACTCAACAGCATTGAGTTTGGTTTGATTTTGGACTCATTTTAGTTTGGGGCCCCTGACATTAAAAAAATGGGGAAAGTATAGATAGTTACCTATATATTGGGTGGGAAAGTATTGGGGGATAAGGAAGAGACTTAAAAGTCATCTTGTGATCTGTCTCACACTCAGTATAGGAAACAACTAATAGGCAAAAAACATTTTTGGCTCGGGGATAGGTGTTGATAAAGCAGATCCCTTGGTGTAGGATACAATACGTAACACTTTTGTCTTCTCCCACTGTCTGACCTGTCTTGTCGGTCTGTAGTGGAGCCAAACTGCTTATAGAACCGACAGGACAGGGAAAGCATGGTGGCACATAGAACCCCAGTGACTTTGTCTCCCATTCTGGATAAGTTATTGTCACCAAAGTTTTCTTTTTTTTTTTTTTTGATAGGCAAGATTCCTTTGCCACCCCCAACTCTTACACTCTGCCAGTTTGGGGACAAATTTTTTACAGTGGAATCAAAGAAGAAATAGTTGAGATGCTTAACTATGCTTGTTAAAATTACAGGTTGAATGGCTATGTTGGTTTGGTTTATGGACTATGGTGAAATTTTGTTGAGGAAATTTAGGATCAGGGACTGCAGGAAGAGGAGACATTAGCTGGATCATCTGATGAAAACTTTCAGATTTTCCATTCTGTGGAGGCTGGAAGAAGGTTTTATATTCTTTAGGACTGTTTTAGATCAAGCTCTGTAGAGAATTTATCCTAGACCACCTTCCTTTCTTATCCTCTGCCCATCCTCCCTTGAGCTGCATTTCCCAGACCTTCATCCCACATGCCCTTACTATTTTTTTCCTTGCTCCAAGGATTTCATCTTAATTCCTGAGCACAGAACTTCATCCTCCTTCAGATTCCCTTCTGTTTCTGGTTTCTAAGGTGTTAATATGGCGCTTGGCAAGGAAGAAGCCCTCGGCACTGAATTCTAAACTCTTTGACCGCTTTTATTTTCCTTTTTTTCAGGTTCAAGTGCTGGATTGTGTCATGTGACCATCCCAAAATTCAAAGCACCCTATGGCCATCTTTGCCCTCTGTCACATAACTTGAAAACTGCCTGATGGCCTTTTTGCAGTGGTTCCCACCAGGAAGCCTTGATCTCAGTGAAGAAGTCCTTTCCCGGCATTCCAGTGCCCCCGTCAGCCCCAACTCCTCCTTAACAAAGGCAATCAATCACACACAGTGTAACAAATACACAAAGTAAATAATAATTACACTAATTATGATACGTTCCGAGGGGCACCGGCCAGGTCTACACACATCTTAAGGTGGGAGGGGTTGCTAGCTCCCACTGGATCACTGGGCTCTGCCCCAAAATCTAATCCACGCCTTTTTGGGGACTGGGAGGAACAGGAATGAGACTTCAACTCATAGGTCCATGTTTGTAAGAAAAAGACCACCCCAAAAGATCTTTATTTGGTGGTACTGAAGGGACATTTCTATGTGTCCCCCAGGTTTAATGCCCCAGCTCTAGAATCTGTAGAGAGAAGTAACCTGATGCTTACTGCCCAACCCCCACCCTGTGCAAAGATCAGGAGACATGGGCACTTGACCTTGGAAGAGGCTGCTTCTGTTCTTTGTTTTACTGTTCCTCTCCTTCCACCAAGGATATGAACGTGGTGTAGGTGGTCAGGTGTATCTAGCTCTCCAAATTGGGACAGAAGGAGGGATAAGAACAAAGCAAGAGAGGAAAGGATGGGGTTTAGCATAAATGCTATATGTGGAGGCAAGTTGGAAAGCTTAATAGCCCCTGCCCTTTCCTCTACCGAAACACCTTATTTCACTATGGGAGTAGAAATAAGATGCTAAGCACATCAATGTCACTTTCCCAAGGGTAGCCACATACCTTTTCCCTTTGCACCAGCTGGGCCAGGTGGGAGAGTCATGCTCTGGAGAACAAACAAGCCTTCCAGGACAGCTCTCCCAGCTCGGGCTTTACTGTTCAATACTGTTTGTCTCAGACCCATAACTGCTGGCTTAATTTAAGATTGATAATTTTGCCGAAGGGTCTTTCCCCCTCTCTCGACATCCTCTAGGCCCTTGTCTAGAACTGAGAGGTCTGGTGATGAGGTAAGGATAGGGTGTGGATCAGGAGACTTTCCTCAACTCCTTGGCTTCAGGCACTGTCCAGCTGGGAGGCAGAGGGTAGCTTGTACTAAGAAGCATATGACTCCTCTAAGCCTCACATCTCTTCACCACTACTCTGGTGCCCTGGTTATCTGTCCCACAGCGAGAGGTATTTTATGTCCATAAAGTGCCCGTGGTAAGTGCTCAGAATTCATCTCTTTGCTGTGGTGGGTGCTGCCATTTCTTGTTCCATCGAGGGGAAGAAACTGAGGCACAGTGAGTCCGGAGGAGAGTGGGTCAGGATTGTGGGAGAAATGAATAGGCCTAGCTAGTAACTAGGAACAGCAACCAGTCTGCCTGCTTCTTAGCTTTCCAAATGGAGCCTCCATCCTTCCCACCCTCTGTTCTGTCCCCTCCCTGCTGCCAGGTACTGCTAGATTCCAAAAATAAAAGATAAAAATAATTATAAACACTCTGCTCCCTTGTTACTCTTCCACCCTGAGCTTTGGGGGTGGGAGACTACAGCGTCCCCCCTCCAAAATCCCTTCCCCCTTGGTCTGCTGGCTCTATTCCCTAGCCCAGAGCAGTGATTTGGATTCAAACGCCCTGTAACCTTCAGCCTCCTTACTATTACTTTCTTGACCCCTTCTAACCCTTCCCAGGCCCGAGGAACTCTGGGATCTCTATACTCTCTTTCCTTTTTATTGACCTGAAGATAGAGGCTGGGAGCAGGGTCATTCCACAGGCTCTTTGGTCTCTGTCTCGGCAGGGGAGTGGGGGGAATTTGGCCATAAGTAGGCTGCACCCTCTGGCTAAATAACTTAGTACTATGAGGGTGAACCTGAGAATTAGTTCACTGGCTCATTACATTGATCCTGGATATTGTGGGCTCCCCCGGCTCCTAAACCCTAACCTCATTGTTTCCATGACCATTAGCTTCAATCCCTTTGGCTCAGGAAGATTGAGTAGGGTGATTATGGGTTGGAAATGTCCATGTGTCGGCCCTCTTGCCCTCTACTCCCATTCCCAACCCTAGAGGCTTTATACAAGTGCTTAAGTGGGTGGGTATTAGAGGGGAGCAGGGTTTGGGGAATAAGGGACAAATAGGGCACAGTGGGCAGGGGCCCTCATTTCAGTAAAGCCAAATACCAAAAAATGAAAAGTCACAATAAATAAATAAATAAAATTCCGAAATCCTCACTTTTGCCCCTGCCTTCATTTTTCTTCCCCTGACCACTGTTGGAGGGAGAGAGGGAAAAGCTAAGAGTGGATTTTTTATTTTCTCCTATTGAGAATGGTAGTCAGGGGATCTCCCCAAACTATCCAAGCCCCTCACCTTGCCAGTGGAAGAAAGGAGGCTTGGTGTGGGGCTTTCTCTTCTAACTCCATTTCTGTCTCTTTCTCATTGTTTGTCTCTGCCTAGTCTGTCTCTTCTCTCTATCCCTTTGCCTTCTTGCTGCTGCTCATTTTGCCCCACTGTCTCTGTCCCTCTGCCTCTACATTTCTCTGTCTTCTTTCCAAACCTTCTCACCTGCAAACCTCAAATACTCCCCATCCTTCCATGCCCCCTCCTTCCCCTTTTCCCCCAAACCACTCACCCCTCAACCACCACCTGCCTCCCTCTGTTGTATTGCACACTGCTTGGGCAGGGAATAAGGTGTGAAGTTCATGGGAAGAGGTGGAGGGAGCTCTAGGGGATGGGGGTATGGGGGTCTATGGGCAGGGTCTGTGGGGGAACATCCTCTGTCCCCCACCTTAAGAGCAGCCACAGCGATCCACCACCATGCCAGGGATCTTGCCGTAGATAATCTGCTGCTTGTCATTGAAGTAGAGCATGTTGATTGGGGACATCTTGGTGGGAGTACAGCAGGGCCCAGCAGAGCCTCTTGGATTGGCCTGTTGCACCAAGTGGGTGTGGGGATACTTTTGCATGAACATGTACTCGCACTGGCCGGAGCAGTAGTTGGCCTTGTAGCGCTTAGGCGCAATGATCCAGTCCCAGCCGAAAGCCTCAAAGTCCACTGTGAGGGGATATCGGCAGCAGCGGGACTCACTTGAGTGCTCATCACAGTCCAGGCCCAGGTTCCGCCGGGACCGTTTTGTGTTCTCTAGGACTCGCAGCTCCATGAAAGGATGCTGGGGTTGGGAGAGAAGAGAAACAATTCTGACATGGCCCAAATTGCTCCCATTCCCTGTCCCTTTCTCACCTCCCTCTCAACAGGGTCATCCATCACGACAGGACAGAAACTTAGCCTTTCCACTAATCCCGCGCCCAGCCCACATCTTCTACCCACTTTTCTTGCCAGTTAGCCATCTCTCCAACTCACCTCTAATTATTCCTCCCCTGGCAACCTGATTCTCTTCCCCTGGGCCCAGGGCCTCATCAACGGCCAATTTTGGTGTTCCCACGGATCTCCCATTAACTGACACCCTTGCCCCAAATCCAGTTTTCAGCTGTTGCCTGGCATAGATCCCTGAAAAGTGATAGCGGTTACCACCCTGCCCCCTTTCTCTTCTAGAATCAGGTACCGGTCTCAGAGGAATAATGCTAGTCCCCAGCTCCCTTCACGTTCCTGGTCTCTCCTTCTCCAACATCCCCACCTTCTCAGGACCAGGTTACATATCCACCACCACCTCAGGGCCCCTGCTCACCAGGCCCTCAGCTCCTGGCCCCAGGGAGGTAACAGCCAGGTCTGTTCCACTGGGATCAAAGGCGTTGATCTCGATGCCCCAGTTGCTCTGCGGCTGGCGGAACCAGCTGTGTAGCACCTGCTTGAAGTCGATGCTCTGCCAGTGGCCTGAGCGTGAGTGTAGCTCGATCTTGAGTGAGCGGATACGAATGTGACGCCGGCCTCCACCCCCTCCCCCTGCAGTGCCTTCCCCAGTTAGAGGTTTCAGTCGCAAGATCTGCAGGTAGACAGTGGCAGGGCGGGGCACTGGCCGCAGGTACACCCACAACTGGGCCTTCAGTACCTTTGTGAACATCACCTTGGGGCTGAAGTGGAAATGGCAGCAAAGAGGGCTGCCATCTGTCTGCACTGCAGGGTCCGCTGATGGAAGAGAAGAGGGCACAGCATCAGCAAAGGGTGTGTGTGGAGAGGGTGAGCAGCCCTAGGTAGAAACGGCAGGGGCTGGGATCATTGGCAATTTAGACTCCTCAGTCTCAATTTCCAATTCTTCCTTACCCTTCTCTTGTTAACTACCATATTTCTGCTGACCAGTACAGTGCCTGCCATTCTATGTAGGGTAGCTCTCGCAGGCTGTAGTCACTGATCTGTACCTATCCGTAATGTTTGCCCTAATGGGCAGGTTTCCCTCTACCAGATAAACTGCCGAGATAATTATTGGAATTCTCCGTCCACCTGCATCTTCTTCCAACTTTCCCCAGCAACTTTTTCTGAACCTTGATGTTCTTTGCAGAAGCTATACCTCTTCTCATACCTACTGTCCTCAGACCACCTTGCTTGGTTTCTGCTGTTTTGTCTGGTGGGCAGTGAAGCCTGGCACAGACCCCCAAAACAGGTGACCTCAGAGAGTGGATAACCTAGGGTCCAGGAAGGGAGCATGTGCTAAATACACCCTATGAAGTAAACCAGAGTTCTGATCTAGGCCTTTCTGCTTCCTTCCCACTAGAAATAACACCCATCAGAACGGAACCACCCAAACACTTTCCATGCATCTGATTCCCTGTTCTCTCTCCCCTGAGAACACACTTCCTCAGCTACTTCCTCATCATCACCATTACTGCCTCACCTTTTGAGGAAGGGAAAAGCCACCTCATATTTGCCCAGAGCATTTGCTCAGAGAAGTAATATTCAACACACCAGATGGACTATATTCAGTCTCTTTTTGTCACCCAAGTCTCCTTTGGTTCCAGTAAATCTTTACAGATGGTCAACATCCCACCTTTACATTTTGACCCATTTCCCCTTGTTCCAGACCATAAATCGAGCTTCTGACAGTCTAAATGCTGATCCTCGATACCCACCTCTGCTTCCCTTCCAACTCCTCCCAGTGCCTCTCCTTAATTTCTTAAGTTGGGTGGGAATGCCCTAAATCATACCTCTATTAGACAAAGAATATCTATTCTTCTTCTACATATCTAAACAGACTGAGGGTAAAGGCTCAGGAATGAACTTCCATCTTATAGGTAATGATCAGAAGTCCAGACCTTTATGCATCATGCCCATCTCGAGAGTTCTGCATAATCATGGGGGACTTACTCAGCATCTCTGTTGTCTTATCAGCAACCTGCTAGCCCCACCATCCCAGGAGGACCTTCCAAATGGGATGGGGTGGAAAATGCTTAACGATGTCCATATATTAAGGGCATGATACACAAAAGTCCCCCTACAGCTTCCTTTCCTTGGAGCCCTCAGCGCTCTGGTTATCTTCCCAGTTATCCTACTGGCTGGAGCTGCCATGATGGCACAGTGAAGTAGGGTGTGGAGAGTGATTACTGCTTGTAAGAAGGGGAATGACAAGCCACAATCCAAATAGCATATTATACCTAATGCCAGCATAGGAGTTGTCTGTTTTCTTGCCTGTCTTTGTCATTAGGTACTGTGTCTTTTGATGCTATGTCTACTTGGCTCACCACTGTAGCTTTCCTGCCTCCTAAAGTCCCAGGCAAATCAAGAAAACCAAACCCACTGCTTTCTCATCAATTCTGACTCAGGGTAACCCTATAGAATAGAGTAGAACAGTCCCATAGAGTTTCCAAGGCAGTAAATCTTTATGAGCGCAGACTGCCACTTTCTCCCATGTGGGTTTGAACTGCTGACATTTTAGCAGCTGAGCACTTCTAACCACTATGCCACTATAGACCCAGGCAGTGCTCAATAAATATACACTGAATGGATTCCCCAACCCTCCAATCCTAAATTATATAGACAAGTATCTGAAAGTTCTTCCTGACATCTAAACTCTGTTCTCTGGTTACAACTGAAGTGGGTTTAGTCATGGTCTGACTCCTCAGTAATCAGTATCTGACCTTCCCCACCAAACTTCTCAGTGTGGTACAGATAATAATCCTTGCTTCATAGGAGTGCTGACCATTAAATAAATAATGTGAGAATAGTAGGAACTTCTCAATAAATGTTGGTTTATTGTTAGTTTTCTTTCTCTACTCTCCAAAGAAAGGCATCACTTTTCTAAGTGCCAAACATATCCGCCACCCAAGCTCACCCAGAGCTTGGAAGCAGAGGGCCAGGCATCAGGGCCCTATCCCTCTAGGTCTTTGGTTCCTTTAGATAGTCCCCTATCCCCAATCCAAGGAATCACCATACACTTCTCTCTCACTGTATGTGGGGAGAGTCAGTACTACAAGAGGATAGGACCTAGGAAGAAAAGGGAAGAGCCCTAGACCAGAGAGAATGGAGAAGCTGAGGGAGATAATGGAGAAGAGGCCATGAGAGAGGGAGGCAGGTTAATGGAGATAGGTAGAGAAGTGAAGGAAGAGGGAAAGAAGAAAGTTTTGGGGTTGCAGAGAATGGGGAGAGAAAGGGAGTGATGCCTATGGACTGGGTGGGTAGGGATTAGAAAGTTAAAGGAGGGAGGTACCTAAGCCTAGTGGGAGCAGCCAGAGAAAGGGCGAAAAGAGGAACAAAGGAGAAGCAGGTAGAGCCACAGAGGGAAAAAGGGGGCCTGAGAGTCCCCAACACACACATAGGCCCAGCCCCCTTGGGGAGGGGAAAGGGCCACATCTGTGTTGGATAGATGGGAGTGGAGAAGGCAGCAGGTCAGGTTGAGTAGGCAGCACTGGTCAAGGAGAGAGGTCATAGCACTATTTTCAGCCAAAGCCCAACCCCCTCTTTATTCACCAACTCCCCAACAAACACTCTCCCAACCCCACTAGAGGGCCTAGGGGCAGGAGGTTGGGCTGAGAGTAGGGGCCTCTAGGCTTGGGGAGTAGAGAGAAACTGAGGGGCTGGGCTTGGCTCTCAGAAGGGCAGGGAGCTGGGTTCCCAGGATGAAGGCTGGGGTGGGAGAGCTTGAGAGGGTGGAGGGAACTAGGGCAGGCGCTGCAGCCCAGGAGGGGTGGGGGCTGGGGTCCAGGGTTGAGGACTGGGGGAGGGGAGGGAGGGGGGAGGGGAGGGGAGGCCATCTCTGCTGCCGAACACCTCCCCCGATTAGCAGAGCACAAGTCTCTTATTAAAGCGGGTCCCTGGGGATTAGACTATAAAAGTCTCTTTTTCCTGTTCCCCTCTCTCCCTCCCCTCCCCTCCGCTCCCCCTCCCTCTCTTAAGAGCTCAGCCTGACTCTTAAAGGGGACGTACAATACCTGGCGGGAGACCCAATTCCTTAGTTATTCAGGGTGGAAGCTGGGGTGGCACCCCTTCTGCTGGTGCCCCCACAACCTCACCTGCACTGCCCAATCCATGCATGAAGGATCTGATCACTTCCTGCATCCCTGTTACCAGAGCTAACTCTGGGCTCAGGCCTGCTGGTTAAGGGATGTTAGAGATAGAGGGGCAACATGGGGGTCCATAACCCCATTACCCATCTGGGAAATCCTCACACACGCTACACATATACACCAGAGTATCTTTTCCCTGTGTACCTTCTTCCACCAAACTCTTCTGCATTCCCCTACAACTGTTTCCTAGAATCCTGTCACCACCTTGCCCTCAGTCAATCTCAGACTGACCCTAGCTTCCATAACCAGAAGCTTTAAGAACAGAAGGGAGACTGAGGAACCCAAACCAGATCCCCATGCCCTCCCTCTACCACTCCCACTTAGTTTCCTAGTCTTTTCAGTTCTCTTTACAGCCCTGAACAAACACTGTGGAGTTTAGGTCTGCAGAAATAGGGGTGTGTGTTACTATGAGGCACTCAGCCTCTCTGATGCACACCTGGGTTCCAGTGCCTCTCCCATGGGGGTGGGCCAGTAGGACTCCCCTCAGCCCCCAGCTTTTTATGACCCATCTGCCAATAAACCAGTTCCCCCCCTTCTGTTCAGAGCCATAAAACCAATGTGTGTGGGGGGGGCATGCAGGAGACTTGGCCAAACCACTAGGGAAGAAGAGAGGGCCTGGTTCCCTGGAGTTGCCCCCACACACACACCTCAGTGGGGGAGGGGAAGAGGGCGTCAGCTGACCCTAGGGAGAGCTGGTAGGGGGGTTGGTAGTGGTGGAGTATTGGCCTGGATTTTCTAGGCCATAAAATTTCAAAGCAGCTCAAGTCTATTAACATGTTGGTCTTCCATTTGGCCAGGGACTTGGATGCCTGGGTTACTTCCCCCCACTCCAATCTTTTTTTTTTTTTTTTTTCCTCCCTAAGTCTTCTCTCTCAAGTCCGGCTGTGGGTAGGGGGAATGAATGAGGGATGGAGCATTAAGGTCTGAGCAGCCAAACGGGTGCTCTCAGCCCCAGCGCAATGGAGTTCAGTTCTCTGAGCTCGAGCTCCGCCAGTACCAAGAAGGCACAGCTTTCCTGGTCCCGTGGGAAACCGGGTGTGAGGTTGGATTGGGGTGGAGAGGCTACTCCTTGGGCTGCAGGCGGAGATACAGGGCTCTGAAATCCTGTTCTTGGAAGAGAGAAAGAGGAGCACTCGAATCTCTGCAGCCGGGTGGGCGCGTTGCGGAGCATGGGATAGAGGGGATGAGGAGGTACTGCCAGGGCCATAGGGAGGCAGAGAGCACCGCAGCCTGCCTGGGACTGCGGGAGTCCCAGAACCTCCCGATTCCGTTCACCAGCCTCCCCGCCACGGCCCTTCAGGACTAAGTCGCTGTCCTGTCCGGTTCACTGCGGGCCCCTACCTCCCCCGACTCTCCAGCACCGTCTTTTGCGCACTTTGAGGGCGGGAGGCGGTATCTCGCAACTCACCCTTTTTGCACAGCCCTCCCACCCCGGCATCTCCAGGGACCAGAGTGTACACAACTCCACAGCCCATCTCCACAGCTCGAAAAACTTCTAGAGAGCATTCCCCGCCCCCCAGCCCGTCAAGTTTTCGCGGAAAAGGCTTCTCCGTAGTGGCAGCCTGGAGCGCCCAGCGACCCAGCGGGAGGCGCTCGCCTTCCTGGGGTCGGAGCTGGCTCCCCGTAGCTCGCGCCCCGCGCCCACTTACTCTCCTGGGCCATGCTAATGACGGTCTCTGTGGTGGCGTGGTATTCGTCCTCCTCCAGGAAGTCCTCGGGCTGTAGCGCGTCGCCCTGGAAGTCGTGCAGGTCCAGGATCTGCTGCAGCGGTGGCGCCTTGGGTAGCAGTTGCTTCACCACCTCCCGGCTGATGTTGGGCGCCTCCTTGAGCCGCAGTTTGCTCAGGATCTGCGACTTGATGCTCTCCAGGCGCAGCTCGCGGCTGTGCTGCCGCCACACGCACACGGG